TTTTTTCCTCCGGTACCGGGAACCGAACTCACGACCTTGCGCTTGCCAGGCAGGCGCTTTTTGCCGCTGAGCTAAATCCCCAGCCCCCTGCTTCAATATCTTAACCCGAAGCCCACTTTGTGACTTTGGGGAAAACGAGCAAGGGCAGCCACCACCAGTGGTAAGTGTGAGAAGTCAGTCCTTCACAGAAGGCATGATTAAATTGTCAGTAGGGAGAGAACTTGTCACGGTGTGTGATCTGCCCAGAGGCACTCTCCAAAACACCAGAAACCCTCCAGCAAGCTTTCTGAAACTCTGCTTTGCCAGACGGACTCTGCAGGAGCCAGACTGACCCGCTGGACTCAGAGCTCTGTAGGAGAGTTTGTTTCTCCGTTAAAGCCAGAAGGAACACCGGGACCTGTCTGTGTTTGGGGAAGGGGTGGGACTCACTCCTGAAAAGGGGAGGGCGTGGAGAGCAGTAGGCCACCCAGATACTGGGGCGAACCGTGAGACAGGGGCTCTTTGGGGACAAAAATAACTCTAAGCTAGGTCTTCCAAGAGAAATAGAAACCTTGAAGATGAATTCTTTCCTCCCTCCCTGGGAAGTACCGTCTGCCAGGTATGAGGTCACTAAACAAGCAGCACCGAGGCTCCCTTTATGCTTGTCACCAACCCAGGCAGCAAGGCCAAAATGCCTCCCTTTGCTTGAGGAATTTACAACTCAATGGTTATGTAGGAGGCGGGGATCTGGCCTTCAGAAGACAGATGTGTCCCACAGGCAGGCGCCTCCTCTTGTGTCTCTTTAAACTGGCGACTGGGCCTTAGATTTCTGTCCCACAGTGTTAGCAAGTTGAGAATGCCCGAGAGAGCGGACTGAGCTGAAAAGAGTAACTGACGGCTGGGCATGCTATTTGGAAAACCCGCTTCTTTCCTTAGTCCCCTTCCTAAACACCAGTGGCACCCAGCTGCAAGTTCCCTTGCAGAACGTGGCGGTCCTGTTTTAACCGCGGGTAATGGTTGATACATGGTGTGAATCTGAGAGGTTTGGAAGCTTAACTTGGGGACCCAGCAGGGACCCAGGCTCCTCACTTTGCTAACATCCTGAGCCTGTGCAAGAGGAGGGCTGGAGACCGTGCGGGTGAAGAGGACCCGCCCTCGGATGGAGAGCCTGCATACAGTACAAGGGCGGGAAAGAGCCGTACTTCCCCCTTTTGCCCTTGCTGCTTTTGCTGTCTTCTGCCGCCTTGAACTGCTGACCCTGTGCATGAGCCACCCCGCCTTGGAGCCAGCTGATCACAGACTGAAGCTTCCACAAACCGTGAACTAAAGAAACCTTTCCTTCCTTGATTTTGAATGTCGGGTACTTTGTCTCAGCAACGAGAGAAGAGCGAGCACGACCCCAGGTTAAAGGAGAAAGGATAGCTAAAACCTGCCGCCCTGGGCCAGCCTTTGCCGCCGCCGAGCGGAAGCGTGCAGGGCGGGTTTGGCTCTCTGGACCCTGCTTGCTCCGGCGGCTTTTCTGAATCTGTTTCGGTCCGCGTAAAAATGAAGCGTTAAAACTGCAAGGAGTAAAGGAAATAAAGTATCTGAGAGCTTCCTAGCCCGGGGCCTGGCCTGGCGGGTTCGAGTTCCGTCTCTTTCTAAAATGAGCGCGCTGGGGTGGGCGCGCCTGCCGGGGGAAGCCGCGGGGCGCGGGGCGCGGGG